TTTAACTGCACGCTGCTTCTTTATGCCATTGAATGTAGGTTTTCCTTGCAAAACGAAACCACCCCCATAGTTCAATATCTGCCGCTCTTCTTTGGTTACATTGCATCCAGTAAAGTTATGTAAATTCACTCTATCACGTTGCCTTTCTCTTTCAAATGTAATGTCCTCACCATTTAGTCTGTCCTTACGAATAAAGGATTTTAAATCACTTTGTGATAGGGCATCCCTCTCCTTTACAAAGGACAAAAAACAACGTAAAATGTCTTTCAGTTCACCCACAATTACTAGGCCTCCTCTAGCATGTCTTTTCTCCTTTATTTTCTCGTTTCTCCACTGTGTTATTTCAGAGGTAATTAACTTCGTCCTACTCTCTACTATATCATCAACATTTCTCTTTATGGCCGCTAACTCCAATTCCATACATTTCTCTTTTTCCTCCAGAACCAGCCTTGTTTTTTCATCCTTACATGTCACTGCACCACAAACAGCTGTATATTCCACATCTGCTTCCTTTCTTAAATTATATAATTCAAACTTTAACCGTGCCAACGTACTGTACAGTCTATCAATCCTTTGCAAATCACTTCTTAAAGCAGAAGTAATATAGCGAAATTTCAAAACCTCTGCATACCAAGTCTCTATTTCTTTAGACATTGTTCATTTTTAGCACCTTCACAAAACAATCATTCTCACAAATGTCAAAATAACGATTACACGTAAGTATTTCTACTCACGCCTCAAAATTTTCAAAGAAAAGGAACAATTCTTTAATTCAACAGTATTCTGCTTGCAGCACGCACTGGAAATAGTTAACTTCCCTTTAACATTTTTAAAAAACTTGACTTGATCTATGCAATCACGTAGCCCAGACAGATTGCACAAGTTCACCAGTCGTTTCCATACACAGCGAACTTCGCTATTGAGGTAAGCATTCCTAACCCTTCAATCTCTGCATTTATCCTAAGTAAAAACACCTTGTATGTAGATACCTTACGAGGATAAAAACAAACCAAGCTTCACTCACCCTTACTACTATAGACTACCATAATAGACACTCCAACATGCCAAAGAGTAAAACGACCAAGAGTAGAGGTATGTAGTAGTATTTTTCAAACAAAAGGCAGCCTTAAATGACAAAAAGGCACGTAGGGCTCAGCCAGATATTACCATAATGGCGTCGAAATGTGTGGAAACAGGCTCTTTCTCCGAAACCCGCCCCATTCCCCATCGGTTTTATTTAATTCAGCTAACCTCCCCCTCCCTGACCTGTTTCCTTGATTGCCTTCTGAGCTCCTGATGAGACGAGGCTTTCAACCTTATGTTTAGATAGGATGTTTTTCGTTTTTAAAGATGAGCTCATCATATATCTTATTTATCATTTAAACCTGGGTAACATAAGATAACAATTGTAGACATATTATCGTAGGTAGGTCACTCATTTTTACAGCTATCACCAGAGGAAGAATGAGAAATTAGATCATGCCTGGCAGCCATCGAAATGGAAGAGAAAAGAAAAGAAATCGAGGGAAAAGAGAATAAATTGCGGATAAAGGAAGAAGAATTAAAACTAAGAGAAAGAGAAAGCGAATTAGAGAAAAAAGAAAAAGAGTTAAAGGAGAAAGAAGAGAAATAAAAAGAAAAAGCAAATGAGTTAAAGAAAACCACAATGGAAGCCAAACAGGTGGTTGCCCAGCTCCAATTTATGGCCAGGCAGCTTGACCGTGTGGCGAACCAAGTACTTTCAGAAATGTCAAAGTGAAGAATAAATAATGTCGGACATTAAAGAACATTTTAAGACAGTCACGTATAAGTTGATTTACTGCATAATTAATTGTCATGATTTCACTACAACCATAAAAAACAAAATTATTTGTCATGATTTCACTACAACAATAAAAAACAAAATTTTTTCTGTGTAATGATTCATATATTTTATCTCTAAGAGAAATTTCGCACATCTTGTAATACCATCATATGCTTTTCCAAAAAAATACAAAGCCCAAGTGTTGTATATTTTGTGCTATAGTAAATAAGCAATTCGTGTATTCTCTTGTGAAGGATAAGTTATCCTCTAATTGCAAGGTATGTGCCCCATCGCTGTCGTCCTCCACTTCCTCTGTTACCCCTATCTTTAATCAATCGCTCCTCTCTCTATCTATCACTCTATCTTGGTCCATAAATCCCCTGTCTTACAACAGCAATCCTATATCTTGAAGCATTGGTTTTCCTCTACATCCCTCTTGTTTCCTTTTTTTTCGCACAGGCAGCTGAATTAAAATCAGTAAATAATGTTATTATAGGTTCTAAATACATATTTCCCCTTATTCTCCTGAGCTACAAGTTAACAAATATTGCATCCCTCTTATTCTCTCTTTTGCTTAGGCAACTGAATTAAAATCAAAAATAGTGTTTTCAAAAGTTCTTGTTACCCAGTCCCCTTAAATCCCCTAAATTAAAAAGTTAACAAATATTGCCACCCTGTCCCCACCCCCAAAAAAATAAACTCCTTATAACCGAGCAGTCTAAGATCAGAAAATATAATAAACCCCGTAAGACCAAGCAGTTTAATAAGCTCCATACAGCCATGAAAACAATCTAAAATTGGTTTCTATTCATGCCAAAACAATGACAAGGATACATAATGAATACTACAATGAACCACCGTACAGTCTTGCGGCAACAGAGGTTTTTACTAAGCTACACCTGTTGTTGGCTACCTCGTGCCTACTGGGCAGATACCACAAAACTACACAAGCAGGATGAGGGAGCACTGTAAACAAGCCCCCCGTAAAATGATGCACTGAACCGTACATTAAAATTACAAAAGCAGGATGTTGGAGTGTTATAAACAAGCCCCTTGCAACATGGTGAACTGAACTGAACTGTACTTTGTCACTTAGCTGTTGTTCTTGTTATTATTAATATTATAAGTTTACACCTGAGCTCTTGAAGGCCCCCTCAGTTTTAATAAATTCCAAAAAAATATATATATGTATATAATAATAATCAATAATGAAAATAATAATTAGTAATTAATTTAATTTAGTTATTATTACTATCATTAGTAAGAAAAATTTAAGCACATATCCATTAAAATCCCCTTTTTCCTGCCTTTATGCATCTGCGATCCAAATAAAGATATATTTATAGTTGTGACATTTTCTGAACTCATGCAGTCGTTGGTTAACGGAAGTGTTTTTATGAACTGTGTTGTCATTACTGAACTATATTGTCTTTATTGAACTATAAAAATAAGACAAACTGACGTAACTCCTTCAAGTTGCGCGCGAAAGTTCACGGCGGTTGCCAGTTAACATTTGAAGAAATTGCGCATGATATGAAATGAAGTAAGCCATCCAGTGAAGAAAACAAAGTGCAGTCATCCTACCAGTTGTTTTTATTCAAGCTGCGGTGAGTTAGACGCATTGGAACCTTTATTTCTAATTCGTTTTGGAAAGAAAACTGTTAGTACCTTGCTGAGGCATCGCCTGCAATTGTTATGATCTCTTATATTTGCACAGACATTATCATATCGAAAGCAGATTTTTGAAATATGGTCAGGAAACGAGCAGCTGCCTTTCAAGTTTGAAACAACCAAGAAAGTTGGAAGTTCAGGACTTGTACGGTAAAAATAACTATTTTTAAACACAGATTGATGGTAGTCAACTCAAGCACGTAGGGCCAGCTGTGGTACCACGGTTTGAAACATGCGGAAAGAGAGTCAAAAAACAAGATTTCATCCACGGTTAACTGTATTTTTTTCTGCTTTATTAACACGCGCGTTGTCGGGTTATTTCGTTGAAGTTTTCTCCGGACCAAGTTGGCGTTACCCTTTCAGCACTGACTCTCTTTTCAGGTCTGTTCACTGTGCCCCTGATGAGAATGACAGACCTTCTGAGCGGACTAAAATTTTTAAAATAACATCAGTCTATGTTCCCATCTATATTAGTGAGCTTACTAGAACTTAATAACAGTGTAACATAGCGATTTATCTATTTAGTTCTCGTACCATAGCTAAATGAGTATTTACCACTTACTTAATGCTATGCATTCTTATTAAAAAATAACTAACGTATTTTTGGCTATTCTTCCCGCAGCTGCATGTAGTTTACGCTCAACGAACTGATGTGTAGTCATTGAACTACTGGTGTGGTTATTGATCTGTTGTGTACTTATTGAACTGATGTGTCGTTATTTAACTAACAAAAAGGAAAACTGAGCTATTGCTGTAAAGGGAGGGCGAATAAAATATTGAATGTTACAAATGTATTAAACAATATTTTCCTTGCTGTACTAACAGTATAGTTCTAACTGAAAGGGGAAACTTCTTATGTGAGGGACAATAAACTAAACTGTATCACTCGTAAACGCTCTTGACATAATAAATTCTTAAGTAAACACAACAGACATGGTACGCTTGTGCTTCAATATGAATAAATATACCAATCATGTGTTCAAGTTGCTCTACTATCCCAAAAACATCAGTTATGTCCCATTTTCTTCGAGGCGATGAGAACGTTTTTTTTTTTCCTTTTAAAGTGTTAAACACCAAGAAAGTTTTCAAGATCATCGCTATACAAATGGGATTAGACACGTTACTTCTTTACATCTTTCTGAGTAGTAATGGGTGTAAATTTGCATAAAGGAATTACACCCTTCACTTCTCCCTTAGTCCATAGAAATGGGCTTATTAATCTGCATGAAAGAAAAATTACACCCCTGACTTCTCTCTCTGTGCTAATGAGCATATGAAGTTGCATAGTATATGGATATTAATCCAGGGATAACTAACGTAATTAAAAAAACTACCGTGTATTACATGGGTGTTCCACGCCTGAACTGTCATCTGGAGCCCATATAAAGCAACCTCCTGTGTGACCTCAGAGACACAAAACTTTGTTCCATCACATTCCATGTCAATTATGTCCTCTTCTTCCATTTGTTTTAAGGCATGCTTAATTGGGTAGTTTGCACGGCTGTTGACTTCTACCCAAAACCTCTCAACTGACAAATTCTAGCGCACAAAAATTGTGTCGAATAAAGTACAATTGACAACTCTCATGTTACAAATACATTCTGTGTGCTGGGATTAGTTTGCAGATTTAGGTCAATGACTGAGGTTGTTACGATTGTTATAGGGATGAGATTTGAGTTCAAGGATCCATACACAGGTCTCCAAATCAAACCTTCTGCATTCTGTGCTATTTAGGTAAACCAGTAGAATGTTCATGAATATAATTACAGACTGACAGTGAGTGAGGTAGATTCTAATGTTACTTGGAATTAACAGTTTTAATTACAAAAGTTTGCAAAAAAGGAAATTCTACATTAATGTTTACAAGTCCTCAGTGACTGCGTTGGTAGGTTTGGCGTTGCGTTGGTAGGTTGAATCACAGGCAATAATCCCCAAAAGTGTTTTAACCTTTTTTTTTTTTTATAAAAAATGCACTTTCTGGCACGACTGTGGTTACAGGTAACAAAAGTGGTACAGGTAACAAAAACCTAGAATTGACACTTACCTTCTTTGATGTAGTTTGTCGGTGAGAGTCTCTGTGGATTATATCTTAAATGTGCTAGCTGTTTTTGGACAAATAAGGAAAGGTAGAATTCTTTACCATGATCAACCCTGATCTGATCAAATAAGCCTTCCTCTGTGGCAATAAACCTGTAAGTGACAAGCAGTATTAAGTAACATTTTTTTTTTAAGTCAACAAGCCCTACACACTTCTTTGGTAGGAGGCACTAGGAGACTACACACCTCATTATCATGAAAAAGCATGTTCACTGTACAAAATAATATAAAGACAGCTTACTTTGATAGAAATAGAAAAAAATCAATCAATCAATCAAATTATTTACATTATCAGTGTCCCAAAAAAGGAACTATGAATTTTACCTCAAGACCTCCCATCTTTGAACTACCGAAAGTTTGGACACGCAATTGTTGGATAGGATCACCTTGTCCGACCAAGCACCAAGCACCCCCCCCCCCAACAAACACACAAAACACAACTATTTCACAGAGACGATATATTTTTACCTGTATATGTTCTCAAAACTAACCAGGTTATTTTTGATCGACATCGTGCAATATGCAGGAATGTATTTAGAATAACCATCAATAGCGCAAACATGGGTCACCCCAAAACATAGCCAGTTCCTCGTTTTGATCTATATGTAAGTTGTGGCCATAATACGCTGCGGTGTACGGAACTGTATATGTTCTCATAAATAACCAGGTTATTTTTGACCGACATCGTGCAATATGCAGGAATGTATTTAGAATAACCATCAATAGCGCAAACATGGGTCACCCCAAACATAGCCAGTTTCTCGTTTTGATCTATATGTAACTTGTGGCCATAATACGCTGCGGTGTACAGAACTGGATTCAGAAGGCGGACAGTGTCACTCCTTCGTTTTTGTTGATACACTGGGTCGACACGAGAGAGAGATCTGCCAATTCTTGCCTCACAGGCAATTGGTGTTCCCAAGACTGCACCTATGTAGCCTTTCATCATTTTACGACCAAAAACCGGGCCAACCAGTATAAATTTAAGCCAACAACGTTAAACGTAGCAAAGTTTTCACCAAAGAAAAACATAAAAGCAAAAAAATCATCAGGTTGCCAAAACACGACTCCAAAGGAAATAAAAGCAGGCTCACCTGTTCAACAGCAGACTTCACTACCTCATCCAGTTCGTTATCTGCTACCTTTTGTCGTCTTTTTATCTCATGCATGTGACAGTAACGCTTTAAACTTTTAACACTAAGCCCTCGTTTATTAGGAAACTCTGCTTGCAAAACTTCTGAAATCTCCTCGAATGTCCTGTGACTATTCTTGACGAGTTCACGAACTACTTCTCTGTCGAGGAGACTCTCTATTGCCGCCATCTTGTTTAGTTCCAGGAATCTCTTGGACATGATTACGAAGGGAACTGGGCACAAAACAAAAACAAAACAAAAAGCGTGGAGTTTGTTTTCATTGAAAAATGAAAATTGACACAGATTTTCTTTTTTTCATTTCTCCATGTCCGGAAGAAAATGAAAATGGAACATAGATTTCCATTTTTCAATTTCTAAAAAAAATAGAAATTAAACACAGATTTTCATTTTTCATTTTTGTATTTCTAGGAAGAAAACAAAAATTGAAAAACAATTGTCAATTTTTATTTTCCATTTTTTAATTTGAAAAAAAAAAAGAAAATTGAACTCAGATTATCATTTTTAATTTTTCAATTTTCAGAAAAAATGAATGACCCTAACGTACACGCATTATTGTGGCACATGGCCTGGTAATCATAAACTAATCAGGTGAGTATTTTAAGAATGGAAGCCAAGGTGTACCCCTCTGTAAGAAGAGAAAAGGTGGGATGGAAAAAACAATTCATGTTGCTCCTTAATATTTAAGTACCATAATGAATCTAAAGAGAAATAATGTATAGTTCATTTCAAGTTTTGAGAATGGTTTTCAAATAGAAACTTATCATTTCTTTCTCTTTAGATTTCTTAAGTTACTTTTCAAAATATTAGGAGCAAGTTGTTTTGGAGTTGTTTTCATCCTGTGTAGTCTTATGAATATTCACCTATCAATGGTCATCTCAGGGGTGAGGAAGGAGGAAAGGCAGTGACCATTGTTAGAGACCAGCTAAGATTTAGCACGAACATATTGTCTGTTTTATTATTTCCAATCAGTTATGTGCCAAGTACGTTGAATTTTTCACCTTACACGCTGTCAGCAAGGGTTACTTTAAACATTTTTGGGGCCAAAAAATAGAATTCCCTATACTAGTTTATTGCCAGGCAGCTGGGGGATTTCAAGATGTTGTGCAAATTGCTAAAGGTCAATGGTATACCTAACCTCCCCTCTCTCTCTCACACACACATAATTTAGCAATGGCCACTGATGGGTGCACTACATTATAAACACCTTAATGCATGGTTAGATTTCTGCTGCTTTTTTACAAAATAAGAAATATCAATTTATTTCCTTTCCTATAATAGCTTTGATCGCAGGTGAATGTATCATTAATGTCCACTAGGTGGAAATTTGTTGTGCATGGATGTGTTGATGGCTACTCAAGGAAAGTAATGTACTTATCATGCAGTGGAAATAACAAAGCAGATACAGTGCTTACAGCATTTTTGCAAGCCGTTTCTGACCATGGGCTTCCTTCCAGAGTAAGAGGGAACCACGGTGTTGAGAATGTGGAAATGACATGGTATATGTTGACTCACCCTACTAGAGGACCAGGTAGAGGCAGCTACATTACAGGACCAAGTGTGCACAATCAGCGCATTGAACGCTTGTGGCGAGATGTATTTGTTTCATGTCTCTACATTTACTATTCTGTTTTTCAGTATCTTGAAGAATCTGGCTATTTAGACTTGTCACATAATGTCCAGCTATTCTGTTTACATTATGTGTTTAAGCCACGAATTAATGCACACCTTCAGAATTTTACAAGCTCATGGAACAATCATCCTATACGGACAGCTGGAAATAGGACACCAAACCAACTGTGGATAGGTGGACTCACACAAGTACAGTTGAGTTGCAAGAACAGTTAACTCAGGTAAAGTAACAGTGTATTTGAGTTTATGGCCACAGCCTGCATCTATATACACATACTGTAACTTTACAATTTTATTAATATTTTTTGAGGTAAAACCAAACAGCTTTATGCACATGATTTGCTAACTATTTTAACAAAGTGACTGTCTTGCTAGGAAGGGTACAAAACTTAAATAAAGAGGTAAAAACAACTTTACATTCAGAAAAATAGGATTTATTTCTTCAAATTTGTATCAAGTGAAACCAAAGAATACTTTGATCAAAGAACCACTGCACTTTTGGCTTGTACAATATCAATAGGGGTCGTCAGCGTGAGTATTGCTATATTGGCCGCCTTCCGCTAGCAAGTTTTGTGGAAAGATAAAAGTTATATTTCGCAGTATCTGCTCTGTTAGGACTGGAGTCACTATGGGATAGATTTTGAAGGACTTCGACCACAAACAGAGACAGGTGTAGAAGTTGCTGTTGATGATATCCCAAATCCACTCTCAGACAGAGATTTCTGTGACCTGTCACAACAAGTCAACCCACTTGCCCATGATGAAAGTTACGGGATAGATGTCTATATCCAGCCTTAAATCCCATACAGGATGGTACTTCGTTAGGATACTTTTGAAAGGTGTTGTTACATGAAAAAAAAAATAGAAAGAAAGAAAGAAAAAGAAACTGTAGTCATTGCCAATTGCTGGTTTACAGGTCTTTTTCATGGTATCCGGTCACTTCATTCCATGGTCAGATCATTCCACTTAATAGTCATATTGCTCCACAATATGGTCAGTACTACCTGGACTACCCAGATATTGAATGGACCTGCTCCCTATGCTCGCTTCCTTTTAGGTTTGAGCAAAGTTTGGTTGGAGTAGAAAATCTAACTCAACATGGCGGCGAAGGTGAATATGCAAATGAGGATGTAGCTGGATATGCTAATGACTTGCCTGAACCGTGGATAATACAAGAAAGGAAACGGAACACTACCGATCTCATGATGGTTGATCTAAACATCAATAGCTGCCAAAACAAACTGGATGATCTGATATTACTCAACAAGAAATTGAAGTCACGTGATTTTTCTGTCAGAGACTAAGATCGACTCTTCTTATACTAGTGCACAGGTAGCTCTTGAATGATATCATACCTATAGGAAGGATAGAAAAAAGGGTGGTGGTGGCCTGATGGCATATTTCTCATCAAAGATGGTATCTCGTCATGTAAAGCTTCCTAAGCACTATAAATTACTTGAAGTTCTGGCCATAAATGCAACAATAAACAACAATGATGTGTTGTTTGTTGGTATTTATCGAACCCCAAAAGCAACTGGCACTGACTACTACCGTAAACTGGAAGAGGAATTTAATTCACTATGTATGTGGGCTACGATGGAATGTAACACACTCATACTTACGGGAGACCTGAACCTTGACAGATTAAGACCAGAACGCACAGAAGGGAAAATTTTGCTCAGTCTAGAGGAGGTTTATGGTCTGGAGTGTTTAATCAAGGATCCAACCAGAATTACGCCTACATCTGAAACTCTTCTGGATGTGATCCTTACTAACAAGCCAGAGCTTTTTAAAACAAGTGGAGTACTAAATCCAGAAATGAGTGACCACCATCTAGTGTATTGGATTATGAAGGAGAGGGTGTCTCAGCATGAAAGAAAAGTAGTTACATTTAGGAGTACTAGAACACTGGATGTTGAAAAACTCAATGAAGATTTATCTTGTGCTCCCTGGAACGTAATGGATACCTTTGATACTCTTGATGAGAAGTATCTTCTTTGGGAGTCCCTCCTCAACACCATAGTAGAGAAGCACATGCCTACTAAGAGAATGAGATTTCGTAAAGTCGATGTGCCATACATGACACCTGAGTGGAAAAGGGCAATCAAAATGAAAAGGATCGTGGATCGTTGCCTAGTCTTTGTAGGCCCTTCGGAAAAAGTGATGAACTTGACGCCATCATCATCCTTTTCGATGGAAAAATCTTCGACCATCATGTCGTGGTGCTCTTGTGGACCACGTAAACCAAAATGCATTGTTAGCAGCCACCACATTGTGTTTATCAAAGAGCGAGGGGTTTGGTTGCCTAACTGGCCGTTTTGCCATAGTATCTCCTCTTCTTCCTTCGTCAGGCTTTTTGCTTTGTTGCTTTGTTTTGCTTTTTGCTTTGTTTTCCCATCCCTTGTTCGCGCAGCTTTCTCGCCTTCCCTTCCAAGACTTTCCTCGAAGACAGGAACTCTGTATCCCTCACGATAGACTTTGGATAATTTTTGCTTCTTAAATGTCGATCTAAAGCCGCCTGCATCACCTTTAGCGAGTCTGGCTCGTAGTCTTGGCCGTTTTCTTTTCTCAGCTCAGCGTAGAATTGCGAAAGGGCTTCGTTCAATTCTGGGATGTCGTAGCTTTCTAGCTGTTCCTCCTTTCCCCTAGTTTTCGCCCACTTTTCAAAAATTCCTTTCCAATAGCCTGTGCTTCGTTTTGTGTTTTTGTTTTCACTTTCGCATTTCAAAAGTTCAATTAATTCGTCGTCTGCTTCAATAAAACGACAAGCCATTGTTGCAACAAAAACTTGGCAACAAATTTCAAGATAACGAACGGTTGCTATGCAACGGATTAGCCAATCATTAACAGGTAATCATGCCCTCTCTTGATTACTAAAAATGCCCTCGATTAAGAAAAAAATGCCCTCTCTCTCAACCAATCAGTGCTCAGTAATTTTGCCCTTTATTGATAAATAAACTTAAGGCGTATGGCTTTTCAGAGAAATCACTCAGCTTGATGAGATCATATTTTTCCAATGGACAAAACAGAGTCAAACTAAATGGAGTCACCAGCAGTTGGAAGGATGCTGTTAGAGGATGCCCTCAAGAGTCATCGTTTGGACCCTTACTGTGGAACATTTTTCAAAATGATATGACATATATAGTAAATAATGCAAGCTTGTCAATGTACGCTGACGATCATCAGCTGTATGTAAAGGGGTATTCAGTTGACTGCGTGGAACAACTTTTAACTAATGGGGGGCACACTATATCAAAATGGTAGAAAGATAACTTTCTGAAGGGAAATTACGACAAGTACAATTTAATGTTATTAGGCAGGAAGAACAAAAATGAGGACAGTCCATCTATCACTGTCAAGATTGATGAACAGGTTATTAAATCATCACCAGACTTGAAGTTGCTGGGAGTAACATTAGATGATGAACTTAGTTTTAGTACTCACATAAGTGATATATGCAAAATTTCAAGTAAGAAAGTTGGTGTTCTAGTACGTCTTAGAAATATGATTCCCAGAGAAGCCAAGTTACAATTGTACAAATCAGCAATCCTACCTAACTTAATATATTGTCACATAGTGTGGCATTTTTGCAAAGCAGCTGATGCAAGAAAATTAGAAAGAGTACAAGAACAGGCATTACGTGCTGTATATAATTATAGGAATGCTACGTATGAGGAACTCATAGAGGAGGGAAGACTCTCTAGTCTTGAGAACAGACGGTTACAAGATATACTAATTTTAATGTATAAGGTTAAAAATTCACTAGCTCCAGAGCATGTATGTCATATGTTTTTTCAGCAAGATAAGCATTATAACTTACGAAGTGATTTTCCTGTTCCAAGATATAATACTGTTAAGTATGGCAAGCACAGTATCATATATTTAGGCCCACACATATGGGGCAAGATAAGCCAGGAACTACGGAGTAAGACCAGTCTTCAGGCATTCAGGAGAGGGGTGCGTGCTCTCAATGTGCTTGGCTTGCTGGACGGCAGGTGTGGCTGCTGTGCATGCTCATCTTAGACTGGTGGGTATGCATGGTAGCTTCTGCTGTGTGGCTAACTGGTGTACTGAGGGTGTGCTCCCCTATCCTCTATTTAATTCATCTAATTTAAATTTTCTAGACTTTTAACTTTCTGAATTTTGTATCTATATTTTACTGCTGCTTATATGTTTGTCCTATATTGTCAGTTTGTTTGTCTGTCTATCCGTCTGTTTTGTCTATCTATTTGTTTGTCTTTGTTTGTTCCCTGCTTGTCCTACTGTTTGTTTGTAATAATTTTATATATTGATGTTATTTTTGTATATTAATGATATTTTAAGAATATATTTTTAATATTTTTACATATACTTGATTTAATCTTATATTATATTCATTTTACTTATTTATAGTGTCCACAATAAGCTTTTAGCTAAATACCTTGACACTTTAATAAAGTTTATATATGTATGTATGTATGTATGCAGAACTTTTCACGAGTCTTTAAGCCAGGAGCAAAAACAAGGGCGCTACTTATGTGTAGACCTCGTTCTTTAAGCCATAAGCCAAAAAAGTAAACAGGCGAGTTTTATACTACAGTGGAACCTGGATTTAACGACGTCCTCGGTATAATGAACGATTTTCTTCAGCCCGGCCACAATTACAGCAGAATGCATGGAAAGGAACCTCGATTTAAAGAAATCCTTGTTAGAACGAACACAATCCATAAGTGCAAACGTAAAATTTATCTCGATATAATGATATAACGAATAAATGTCAGCATGTGATAAAAGGTGAATGCCAAACAGACCAGTAAGGATAAAATCTAGTACCGTTGCTATGTACAGCTCGGTAGTGAAATGTTATAACAGTAATAATGCTGGGTTTTGTAAATTAATTATTAACTATACTGATTGTTCAGGACAAATCTAATTTAAAAATCGGACACGAAAATTATCCGAAAACTGTTAGGTTTTTTGATAGGGACCTGAGCACTGGTCACGTGACTTCTTTTTCCATGTGACTAGAGTGTTGATCTGTGATAGTTGTTGCGTTGTTTGTACGGTAGAGAGAGCACAGAACTTGTAAGTATTTGGTTCGTTTTTCAGTTCTATTTTTGCTCTCTACCTACATGTTTTGTATTTTTGTTTTAGTTTTCACGTTTGAGTCGAAGAAATCTGTGCTTATCCCCAACATCAGTGAAAAAAGTTCTATTGGAATTGCATGCAGTGTGATCGATGGATGCTTCGAATCGTGGTATAAGTTTGGATTACGCTGGGTCTGGAATGGATCGTGGATTGCCCGATTTTTCGATTCAGTTACCTGTGGTTTCAACTCGGAGCGATATTTCTTTACCTTCTTGTGTTTCTACGAATGTGTTTTCACAGCCATTGAGCGCTTCGCGAGAAGGCGATGGCTATCATTTTCGTCCCAGGCCCCCGCCGACTACTCGCATTGAATTTTTGGAATCGGATCGGAAAAGGGACTCACGGGACCAGAGGAGTACGGCAATGCAGTGGTCAAATATTAGCAAGGAAATAGACAGTTTATTGAAAGAAATTCAGTCTGAAATTCATGTAACACTGAGTCCAGAGGAAGCTAAGAAATCTGTTGACTTGCTCTTGGAAAAATGGGACAGGCTCGAGGGACTTCATGGGAGGTACCTTGCAGGAATTAACGAGAGAAAACGCTTAGAACATGTACAAGAGCGCTATTCCACTCTGAAACGTGAAGTGGACGATATTATCAATGAGTGTGAGGGTTTGTTTAGAAGACCAGACCCCCGGCATGACGAACTTGGAATGGACCGCGGACTACCAGTTTGGGATCCGAAACAAGATGACAATAAGTCAGTGCACAGCGTTGCTACTCATGTTACCAAACATTCTGAGGCATCATCAGTTTCTTCACAGAAGAAATCACTAAAGAGGGCACTGGTGTCTAAAATGAAACTAGACTTAGCAAGAGCTAGGGCAAAGGAAGATGCAGAAGCAGCAAGAGTGGCTCACGAATATAAGCAAAGGATGGAACTTAGGCGCCTTGAAGAGGAAGCAACATTGGCTGAGCTTGAATGGAAAATTGAAATGGATAACTTGACTGAAAGCAAACTCCCCCCTGTTGTGCCTAGTGCCTTGAACACTTCTACGTTTATTGTTAACAAGCAATCACACTCCACCCCAGTTACGTCCGAGTATGTTTCTAGAGATGGGTTTAACAGTCAACCGAGTGCCGTGTATGTGATATCCAGTGGAACACCTCAATCAACGGAGCCAAAGTATCCAGCAGTTTCAAGACCGTCGGACACTATGTTGAGCCACAATGAATCGTCTGTGAAGGGATTGAACACCACCACTCCTTCTGCGGGGATTAACTCGACCCAGTCCCCTGAACGTGTTAACTTCGGGAGGTCGCAGACCGTCTCCAGCATGGACCAGGCTCCCTGTGATCATGTTGCCGCAATGTGGAAAGCACAATATCTTAGCGGAATAAAGCCGACACAGTTCAGTGGTAATCCAGCCGAGTTCCCCTTTTTTCGTGAACAAGTTCGTACGCACCTCGAAAGCGACCTGCTCACTGATGCCCAGCAAGTGGAGTATCTGCCTAAATTCGTGGCGGAGAAGCGTTGAAGTTGTGAAGCGTAATAGAGGTTGTACGTTTAATGAGATTATGAAAACGTTGGAGCAACGTTTTGGCCAAGCGGTGAGAGTGACGCAAGCATGTGTGGAAGAGCTCGCATCTGGCCCCAAGTTGGCGTACGGCGACAATACTGGTCTTCTCAATTTCTCTGAGAACTTAAATGCAGCCACCAGGATCCTCAAGGGAGACGTTGAACGCGAGGCGAGCGTAGTGACGAACCTCAGGCGCATCGTGAACCGTTTACCTAACGACTTAATCCTGAAGTGGCAAACCGTGAACTACGAGCTCGTGAAGTCCAGAAGATCCGCTCGATTAAAGGACGTCGCTGATTTTGTGCACAAACAAGCATCTATCAGAAATGACCCGGTGTTCGGGTTGCAGACATTTAAGCGGGAAAACAAGAATACCAAACTTCCTCCAAAGCTTCCAGTAAAGAACACCACAATCACTGCTACCGGCGTTGATCATAAAACTCCTGCTTCTGAGAACACTGAACACTGCGGAATTTGCAAATCAAGTAAGCGTCACAAACTCCAAGAATGCCCTATTATCAAACAGTGCAAACACGTGGCAGTGCGAAGACAGTATGCGGCATCCTGTGGATTTTGTTTTAATTGTGGTCTTGAAAGGCCCGGACACGGTTCTGGCTCCTGTCCGGACCCACCAGCATGTTCAGTATGTTCCGGTCGACACATTCCTCTTCTGCACTCTGAAAGTAATTATGGTGGTCGTCGCTTCATCCCACGGAATAATAGAGAGTCTAGTGATAAGTCTGACAAGCCATTGGTGACGCCTAAATCCCCAAACAGCGAAAGGGGAAATGTCACTCCAGCCGCGAGCGGAGACAAGTCTGACAAGTCCGTGGGAAAGGTGCCAATATCGTCCGCTGCCGTTGCGACTGTGCAAGCGAAAGTGCTGTTGAACGTTATACCTGTTGTTATATCTGCTGAGAATGGTAAAACTGTATCCACTTACGCGTTCTTAGACAGTGGCTGCACTGACAGCCTCATTGAACAAGATTTAGTTGATCACCTTGGTATTCAAGGAACACCCGTGCAAATCGGAATTAACACGATTTCAAGTAGTGACAATGTGGTAGAGTCGAAACGTGTGTCCTTTACCTTGACTTCGGTGGATACTTCCGGGGAAAGTATTGA